ATCCCCTTCCCTAATAGTCCTCTGAAACAATACAGACTCTCTATCTTTTATATCAGGGCCAGCATTGTTGAAGTTAGAGTTTACCAAGATTACCAAAATGGTTTTAGGCTATGATGTTACATACTGGGATCTGGCTTCCAGTTGTAGAACAAATACAATCAAGGCAGCCAGCCTCCAGGGACTGTCATAAGCATAGCCCCAAGGAGTCTAAAACCAGCTTAGACAACATCATTAAAAGGCAGGAAAAGCAGTCAAATAAAATTTCTAGAGACCAGATTATTTAGACAAGAGTCTGAAAAATGAAATTGGGAAGCTGAGGAAGAGGAAAAATTCAATAATTTTAAAAGTCATTTCCAAGGAGTCCCAAAGATCAAAGAACTCTTCTTGAAATAAAAATGGGGGAAAGGTATCACATACACTAGGGAAGTCCTGAGTTCTTACACCTAGCTTTAAGACATTAATTTGTAAAAGTATGACTGACAAGTACAGCACTACACTGTCTTAAGAGTTTCAGGCAACACTACAAGCAGAATCTAGCACAGGAAGAGAAGTAGTCATAAATTCACAATTAAGGGGTGCTTCCTTCAAGCACCAGTAATAAAGATACAAAATCATTTCTTGAAATTTAAAACATATGACTTATTAAAAAGCTTTATTATACTTACTCCTGTAAGTAGCAATTTTAATTTTACAGATTTGGAATATACTTTTAGTATAAATGTTTCTGCCTCCATCTTCCACTCATCACATTTTTAACTTCATCTTCCTCTTATAAAGTAAGTAATTCTCAGAAGGGAGTGGGGAGTATAGCAGGTCCAGGTGGGGAGAGCTACAGAGAATTCTTTAAGGCTTTCAAACACTACAGAGCAGCTAGCCAGCCCCACCTCACCTGGAGAATGACTTCCTGTAAGGAGATGTTACTGGGGGGAGTGGCTGGTGCAAGTGTGTGAAGGCAGACTCAAGAAGAATCTCAGAAGTAGTATAGTTAAAGACAGTTTTCATTATTAATAACTTATATTCATGATTTTCAAAGTATCTTCATATTTGTCTTATTTGAGTTAGAACACACTCCCTCATTTAGTGGCAAATGTCTACTTCATAAAAGAACGTAAATGTAGCTATTATTGCATCAGGTAAACCACTAAAACAGTAAGCTAAAAGTTGGTCCAACCGAAATATTTTTATTTGAAAAGAATTAAAAGTTCTTTGGACTCTCTAAGCCACTGTACAAATTTATGAGGGTACTATTAGGCCTACGAGACTGTAAACTCCTTGAAGACAAGGAACCATGTCTTACTCTGCACCCTCCACAATTCCCTCAACAATGTAGCTTTTTAATGAATAGAATTAGCTTATATCCATTTATTTATTAATATGTTCACTCAACATTTATTGAACATTGATTGTCAATTCTGTGTCAGGCTCTGTGTGGGCTCAGATTTTTTCTGAATTTTAGCTCTTAGTTAAAAAAAAAACCAAAAACAAACAACTCACCATTCCTGTTTCCTTTCTTACTCTTGATTACTAATTTGACTGGAATAACATTTCTATATGAAGTTTGAATTTTCAAATGATGGGCATATATATATGCAGATAACATTAATATAATGTCTAAAATTAATTTGCCTTGTATCTTGCCCCCAAACAGAATTTCAACACAGTCATGACAGTGGCAGTAAATGACATTTGACAATCATCCCAGTAACAGTTACTGGACTGATGCCCATGACGAAAAGTGTCTCAGCAACAGGATTTTTCAAGCAAGATCAAGAAGCAACTGGCCCCTTGTTTTGACTACTCAACTTTTGTTTTAATTTGCACCAAATCTTGTAGTCTTTCATGCATCCTTAAAGAAAAAAACCACACACATTAAATGTGATAGCAACTTATAATATTTGCATACCACACAAGAATTTATAGGCTCTGTTTACAGTTAAATGGATGCATATTGAGGCCATACTCTTAAGTGAAATAAATAGGACACACATGTGTAAATACCGTATAGTTTCACTAGTGTGAGAAACTGATAGTGTAAACAAGGGTTAAAATGATTAAAATGAATAATTGATAATTTGAAATAGGAAAAAAGGTCCAAAGACGAAGGAGCAAAGGGAGGGGAAGGGGAAAGGAAAAGAGGGAAAGGAAAAACTACGAGAAAAGAAAAAAAAATGGAAATGAAATCTATGTAAATAGGGAAGGGCGGAGTGGGTGAAGGGTGCACAGGCAATGGGGAAAAAAAAAAAAAGAACCAAGGTATATCATGTACAGGTACAAACACCCAATGATAAATGTAAACAAACTGTATACCTAAAATGTACCAATAAAAGAACTAAAAAAAAAAAGAATTTATAGGCTAACAAACTGAACATATCTTTTTTAGTCCTCAAAACTCACTTAACAGATGGGAGAACTGGGACTAAAAGCAAGGGACATCCTGCTATCCAAAGAGGCAGAGCTAGGATTCTGAGTCTGAACTGGGTCTCCTGAAGCCTGCAGTCCAGTGCTCTCTTCATTACAGCTGGTTCCTTCCTTCCAATGCAAAGGCACAGAAAGCTATACAGACTCTGACCATGAAAATAGTAAGTCTATGAAAGGTTAGGCTATGAACTGGGAGAAAGTGGTTACCAAAATTGACAACACAGCTCAGGGAAAAAATTAAAAAGTTCTCTGTAATGAGACAAAAATTGGCCTGATGTTGATAAAAAAAATAGGCAATAGATGGTGTGAAAAACAACTTAGCATAGACTTCAGTTTGATGATCAACAGAAATTTGATATTCACAAATCCTCAAATGCCCTAATTTATAACTAACTCATTCATTGTTTGTGTAATAACTGGAAATTTTCCAAATCTCTCTTTAAAAACAGAATTGTAAAAAATATACAATCTTGTTCTTCAATCCATGGTATAAACTAAGAAACAGCTAAGTAAACTGAAATACTCATTGACATATGGTGGTCCAATCAGGAAAGACAGAAATACACTTAAGTTCTTTTATTAACATTTAATTTAAGGAATGCCAAAGGAGAGCAAACAGATTGGAGAACTGAAGCATCATTTAAAAAAAATTTTACAGGTGAAACTTTGAATAACTTGCATAGAGTATTTATTATTAACCTTCTAAATAAGAGAATTCAAATTGCAAAAGCTGGCAGTAAAACAGATCTTCAGGGGTGGGGATTTAGCTCAGTGGTCCCGCTGCCTGCCTTGCAAGCTCAAGGTCCTGAGTTCGATCCCCAGTACCAAAATAAATAAATAAATAAAATAAAAAGTAAAACAGATCTTCATTCAACAATGAATTACTTCTTCATATTAATTCACATTGAGTGGCTTCTATGTTACAGGTAGTAAACTGAGTATATTTAAATACAAACAAGTTGAAATACAGCAGAAAACATGTAAACAATATGGGGCTCTCAATCTTGCTATAAATGGAGGTAAATTATCTTACTTTACTGTAAATAGCAGCCATTCAAATGCCACAGTTGTCCCAAGTCTACCAACGTTGTTTAATATACATTTTTAAAAATTCTATTCTAATTACTATTTGTATTTTTAATGTAAAGTTGCTCAAATCTTTTTCAATAGCCAAAGAAAAAAGCCTTCCTTTATTCAAGAATTTAAGAGTATGTGTAACTTGAAGAGACCTTTTCCCTACCCATTAAATCTGTATGAAAAATTGTTTTTTGCTTTTACAATTTAGTTAAAATGGTTAAATTTGATCAATACATTTCAGAATGCATTTGGTCTGTTTTACTCACTGCTGCATTCTGACTGGCTAGAACTGTGCTTGGCACATAGTATTTATTTTGTTGAATGAATGAATTATTCCTATGATCTATAGCTCATTACATAAGGGTTTACTCAAGACCTTTTTCTTTCAATTAACGTCTTAATGCCTCTAACCTTGAAGTAAAGAAAACCCCTGGTGTTTATATCAGTCTGTAGAAAGCAATCATTCCACATGTGTAAACAATAGCATGTGCAAGGTGTACAGTTATGTTAGACAACTTGGGGGTCATCAGCTACCCGCCATTATTTCTCTAAGTCTCACAGCCAGCAGAGCTAAACTGTAAAGCATCCTGAGGACTCAATTAAGCCTTATAGCCACATGCTGAGAATTATCCTTGGTAAACTAATTACTTCTCCACTAAAACTGTTTCTTTATCAAGGCAAGTACCATTTAAAATTAACACTCTAAGAACCAGAAAATAACAGTCATACACAAATTGGGAAAGCTATGATAGTCACTGAGTTGTCTCATGAACCTGTTGTCCTTCTCAAGGGGGACTATTCAGTTTCTATTTAAAGGGACACTGCTTTCCTTTAGGAGGAAAAAAAGAAAACGAAAAACCCCAAAAACCTGAGTTTGGAGGAAAATTCCTTTTATAAGATACGAAGAAAACTATCTATTTGGAATTGTCAAAATAATGTCTGCTGAGAAACTGGTATCAGCCTGTCTGGAGATGAGCCACGGGGCATGATTTGGGGGTATAGGCTTCTGCTCTAGATGCCAAGTTTGAGATCCCATAAGCGAAGTAGAAGGTGAAACAGGCAGCAGCATGGCCCCGACCAGTCTCCTGGGAGGCCCAGGGGCCGGAGGGGCCACTGTCAGCTCCCAACTTTATCAGCCTCCCCCTCTCCGTGCACGGGGTCCCCACGTCTCCAGCTCAGATCCGCAAACTCGCAGGCCGACGCGGAGCCCAGGGCCAGCGGTGGTCCGTCAGAGACCCTTCCACGCGGGCTGGGGGTCCCGGGCCCCGGAAGAAGGGGGTTCGCCGCCCCTCCCCCCGGCGGACCGGCGCAGCCAACGGCGGCTTGGCAGCTCCCCCGGCCTGCGCCCTCCAGCCAGGCCAGTCCGGCCTCGCCACGCCCCGGGCCCCGGGCGGACCCCCGGCGGGGGCGTAAGGCCTAGTCGGGATTACATAACGGGGCCGGGCCCCTCGGGAGCTGGCTGAGGGCCTCGTGCCCCGCACCGGTGGAGGGGCGCCGGCGCTCACCTGCCGTAGATGCCCTCGGTGATCCGGTTCCGCTTTAGGGGGCGGCGGAGCTTACTGCAGTCGGCGTTCCGCCGCTTCATCCTCCCGCTTGGGGGCCCGCGTCCGCGCCGCCGCCGCCGCTGCCGTCTTTCACCTTAGCCGTCGCAGCTGCCGGCCCGCCCCGCGTCGGGCCTGGACTCTACCCCTGGGGCCCGTCACACAGACATGGAGCCAGCACCCGGGGGGAGGGGGGGGGTGCCACGGTGTGGGGGGGTGTCAGAGCCTCCTCCGCCTTCGGAAACAAAGAAATGACAATTCCGGGGGCCCACCCGCCCAGCACCAGCCACCCACCTGCCCCGCCTCCTCGTCTCCGACGGACGGCCCCAAGGGCCAATCAAAAAAGCCTCTCCGCCGCTGACACCCAATCGCAGTACCCACTGAAGCAAAACGGACTCTTGAACCCGCCTCTTTGAAGGACAGAAGAAGGCGCCAGTCATAATTGTGTCTGGACCCGTGGCTGGGCCTATCAGAGAAGATTTAAATAGAAGCTTATAAATAGGCCCTATAAATATAATCTTATATTATGCCTAGTAGCGAAGGTACGCCTCATGATATTGGACTGCGTTTCGTTCTGTGATAATCCGTGCTGTGTGGCACTGTAGCCTCTCGTTTACAATGTATGAATCTGGAGGCCCGGGTTTGAGACATGCGGGGTTTCTGCGCGGACATGTGCTTCAGTCAGTCACGTCATTATGTAAGGGAGCGCACCGGGAGCAGCGCCCGGGTCCTTTCTGCAGGCGCTGGTGGCTCGTCCAGGCCCGCCGCGTCAGAGCGCGACGAGGGTACCAATGACAAAGCAAACCCACACAAACACACAGCCGGCCAGCTTCCCGCGACGTGGTGACAGCGCTACGACCAATCAGAGGCGGCGTGGGGCGGGGCGGGGCCCCCGCAGTCCCGCCTCCTGGGTTGCGTCACGGGGCGGGGGCGGGGGTGAGCTGGACGTCTTGCGAAGCTGTCCGGGGTTTGTGTGGCGGCGCGCGGGGGGAGGATGGTTGGAGCTGGGCGTGCTTTCCCCGGGCAGGGGCTGCTTGGCGGGTCCGTGCTTGGCCAAGGTTCCTGCGAGGCTGGGACGCCGGACCAGCGACCCTTCTCACCTACTTCTCCTTGAGCACCCACGTTGCGCCAGGAAAAGTGCTGGGTGATTCGCTTCTGTTTGCTCACTTACTCTTAACTCCCCCGCCTTGTAGGTATGGCAAAACGACAATTAGAAAAGACAACAAATAAATTTTTTTAAAGAGAAGAAAAAGTATTTTATGCCATTAGAAAATAACCGAGGAAAAAGTGTAGGAAAATAGCTTTGGATGAGGGGGTGGGCACCCATGGATCTCTTCACTTAACATAACCATTGTTAACGTTATATTGTGTTTTCTTCTCCCCCCACCCCATCCCGTATTTTCTTCCATGGCTGATGTCATTACTTTCAAAGTAGAGTAGTGACCATCCTAGAAATTTAATTTTGTATCCTGTTCTTTATTTAGCATAAACATTTTACATGTTACTATGCACCCTTCATAAACATTTCTGGTGGTTACAGAATATCATATCAAGTGACTTTACCAGCTAAACCTTTCAACAACGATGAAGCAGTTAGTCTTCAGCACATTTTGAAAACCTCCAGCAAGTCGATGCCATCTTGTTTTGTCCTGGGACACAGTTGACTTTTTCCAGTGCTGTGATCACCCCTTTAATCAACACCCATGCCAAGGAGGAGCTTAAAATTTATACCAATGTTATGTTCTCAATATTATTCTCTGTTGCTTTCTACTGCTCACAAACTTTTAAAGATTCCCCCGGTGTCCAGAGAAGAGAAAACCCATTGTCTTATGGCATCCATAACATGCCATGGGGACTTACCCTCCCTATCCAGGCCTCCCAGGCAAGCAAGTCTTTCTTCTTAGGCCCACTTTTCTTCTTGCCTTCCTCCCACCCACAGCATCTCTGTCCAAGCTCCTACTAGCATGTGGTTTCTTAGATGAGACTTACCCATCCAACTAGACAAAAAGCTTGGTGGGGGCTGCTGTTCCACTGCTTCCAGGCCAGAGGAGGTGAGCTGCATGGGCACCAACAGCACCCCACCCCCGTCGAAATGAGAAGACACATAAACAAGTCTCAAAACCAGACTTCCAGATCACCTACAGCACCCCCAACAGGAAATGAGGGAACACTCTGATACTCAACCACCTGGACTCTCTGAACTGGCAACAAAAAAGGATCTGGAAAAAATGAAATCAGAAATAATTTCTCTGGTAGCACCAGAGATTGTGCCCATAGTACAAGACATGATTAATAAAGCTGGAGAGGACACAGATAAAAAAAATAGAGGAGCTGAGGAACACAGTGGAATCCCAACATAGGAAACAAATGTAATCCATAAAACAGATACAAACAGATTTCCAGGAGATTAAAAGCTCCATCGAAAGTCTACACAGCAGAATGAGCCAATGTGAGGACAGAATTTCAGTTATAGAAGATAAGATTGCAATTAGTGACCAAGAAAAGAAAAATTGCTTCAAAATTGTAAGGGACCACGAGGAATCAATCCAGCAGCTGCTAGACGATGCAAAGAAGAATAACAAGACTGATTGGAGTCAACAAAGAAACAGGACAGAGTGCAGATGACATTAAAAAAAACTGTTCACAGAAGTAATGGCAGAAAACTTCCCAAGCAGGGGAAAAGAACTTGACATACAGATAAGTGAGGAATATAGAACTCTAAACAGCCTTGATCAAAAAAAAAATCTACACATAGGCATATAATTGTTAAGATTCCAGAAACGCAACAGAAGAACAAAGTTCTACAAGCAGTTAGAGAGAAGAAACAAATCACATAAAAAGGAAAGCCAAACAGAATCACAGCAGACTTCTCAACACAAACCCTCAAGGCAAGAAGAGCTTAGAGTGATGTATTCCAACCCCTAAAGGAAAA